CCTTCCCCAGGGAGCCGGGCGGGGGCTTCCAGCCCCGCGGGTGGAGACCTGCCCATGACAGGCCTGGGGTCCCCGCTTGCCCGTGCCCAGAGCAAAGAGTCCCCACGCCCAACTGTGTGGGGTGGGTGCAGCCGGGGCTGTCCGCAGGCTGCCTCAGGGGGCTTGGAGGCACCACACAATGTTGGCCTGGCCGGGCGGGCAAGCACCCCTGCACCCTTCACAAGGCGAACCCCAAGATGCCCAAGAGGAATCCATGGGGTCAAAGCCCTTTTGACCTGTTGCGGCTTTTCCGAGGCCTTTGCCGGGAAAGACTTGCTCTAGTATTTTTCCATAGCGGGAAAAAAAAAAAGTGAAAGCTAAGAACTGGCATTTTCCAAGGGTTGAGTCTAACAAGATTAAGAGCCACTGGTGTATAAACCAGACACACAGGCACACATACATTTAATTTATTGTGTGTGTATACATATATGCATACACACACACACACACATATACCTACACACATACCTACATACCTATATATACATACATCTATACCTACACACACGCACATTGTATAGCTAGATAGATCTTTGCTTATGACCTGATCTTGCTACCCTCAGCCTCAATGGCATCATTTCCACAGACTTTCCTGTCAGCAGGAGCAAGTGTGTAGGGAAGGAACACACCATCTAAATGGAAACAGTTAGCCAACATGTTCAAATCCATTTCTTTCTCTCAGACAAGGTTATTTGGGTAAATGTATTATCTTTTATTGGACCAACTAGATAGTTGGAAAAACTGTTCTTTGCAAGCTTTCAGGCATAGGCACCCTTCCTCTGGCATAGGGAGAGTCTGCTGGTTTTTGTCATCCCTCTAAGGTCTGAATCGAAGCTGTAAATTATTATATATGAAAATATACACCCAAGAGCTGTAAGTGGAGCTGAAACAGGCCAGTGAAACCCTATCAGTTTAGTCTGCCTGCGCAAAGCGATGAATGCGGCTGGCTATATATTTGCATATGGAAAGAAAATAGATCCAATTATTCAGTCGCTCTGCACTACAGAGAAAGGAGGCAATACTGAGTGCTATGGTCAGAAATTAAGTCTAGTCTCAAAATGTGTTACAGTCTTAAGCTGTGCAATTAAAGGATCGGGTTTTCCTTTTGTGGATGTTGGTGTAAATCAAAGGCAACTATTTGAAGTTGAGTGGAATTAGATTGCACCCTTGTTTTCCCAACATTCCTCCTATTAGTACACAGTTTTTTCCAGTGAACATCAGCTCTCCTCAGAGAATATTTGATCCTGAATTAAAATTCTGAAAGAATAAGCGCATTCAAATTTTCAGTCATCATGTATGCTTTCTGGCGTTTGTTTGTGTTGAGATGTATTTCAATATTTAAAATACTCATCTGTATTATAGATTGGATCACTCAAAAATCACTACTTATTCAGACATAAAAGCCATCCAAGAAGGTCTCAAAGAAGTGCTGTTCATATCTCTAAGAGGCTTTCTGATGATGAGCGGGTAAGTTTTGCATTTACTCTCTTTCGTTTACACTGTCCATGTTATCTGTTTAGATTCCTCATAGGGTCACAGGCATACTTAACACATTTTGTAAGCCCCTAATCATGTTGAATAAAACCTTGTTCAATGAATGAATTCTGCCATTGACTGGCAGGATCTGGCTCTAAGCTAACAAGAATTTCTTCTACATGTTGATTTTTTTAATAATAACTCCAACACTGCAATAATTCTGAATGGAGGTATTTGTGTGTGGTGGGGGACCGTACATGCAACGAATTTTAGGGCAGGATTCCAAATCCAGTGAAGTAAATAAGGGCCTCTTCAATTATGTGAATTGGTTTTAATCAGACTCTTTCTGAAGTCAAGGCTAAGTTTAAAGTGCTTCAATATTACACAACTGTTAGAAAAATGTGCTGGGATTCTGCTGCAGTATGCTGCTTCAGTGACTAGCATTCTAGCCAACATTTCTCATTTCACAGACCTTATTACAGGACCTGGTATTGCAGTCTTTGGCTCCTCACAGCTCCCACTGAAGTCAGATGCAGCCCTGGGTCCTAACTAATCAGGAGAAACAGACAATATTGATACAGACCCCACTTACTTAGTTTTGTTGAAGATAAAGGTGGTATCTGCTTTTTAAACATACTGTATCACTTCATAGATTTTCAGTAATTCAGCAGCATACAACTAGCCTTGCTTAAAAGTTATTTCTAATACATTTAATTAAAAATTAAGCTAGTATCTAATAAACCAGCAATATTCTAAATTTAAGACAGGCATAATATTTAGAAATCCAGTTGTGAACAAAAGAATAGCTGTTTGAGAAAAAAATATTTAAGTGATCATCTGCTACTGAGAGATTAAGATTCAGGGCATGGATATAGATTAGAAGGAAATTTTCAGTATGAGAAGATTGATAGAGATGAGCAAAATAGGCGAGGCGGTGTTCTGCTTGTTTGTTTCAGAAACCCTCTTCTCTATCTAGTTTACTATTTCCTTTAATGAAGGTAACAGGTTCACTCTGCACAATGTGAACACAGTAAATTGCAGCTGTTCTTATCCAAGATTTTGATTTAGCTACTGTAAACAAAGGAACCGTTTTCAAATTTTCAGCTCCTCTATAACACTGAGCTTGAGTTTTGATTCAGTTCCTCTTCTGTTTGGGCTAATTCTATGTAATGTATCCACTATTGGAGGGAAATATTGCTATTGTTATGTATACTATATGTCTATGTTAAGGCACAGATAATGGGGAATTTCCATTATGGATATTAATGATCATTATTGTATATTTATTTACTTAAATACAGAATGATGCTGCAAGTGACATTTGCCAAGTCATCTCTAATTTGCCTCTTATTCCCCCTCTAGTATTTAAATAAGCTATATTTGAGATATAATTATATAAGCATATGAACATAAAGCAATATTGTAAGGCTATGCAATTATACATAAACCTCTGCTCTAAAAATCTATATTAATTCAGTAGCAAACTGGTTTAAAAATTTAATTTAGAAAAAGGCAATGGATAGAATCTTGCTTTTAGCTATGCTTGTACAACTGTGTGACTTTAATAGATTTGTATGAGTGCACATGAGGGCAAAATTTGGCCCATGGTATTTAGACTATTAATCTGGTTTATCTAAATGCAATATGACAAGTCCTGGATCTATGCTGCTTTGCAGCAGCTAAGGATCTGGCCCAGTGTTTGCTGTAAAATGTACTGGTATAATGTGTTTGGTTTTTTTTTAATGTATTAAATTAATGTTTTTTTAATGTCAATTTTTAAAACATTAGAACCAGTTTTGTAATCCACTCTTTACCAATAGCATTATATGACATTAAAGGGATAATTTTAATTATCTCCTATATCAATGAATGGTTGGGTCCCAGAGGGCTGATACAGAGCACTGAGCCTCTATAATAGATTGACAGTTTGAATCGAGACCAACTACGGAGTGACAAACATTTGGCTTGTTCCACTGGTCTGTGTGTTCAGTGGTCTCAGCTCTCTTCCCAGAGGACAGTTGTTCACACACACAAATGATGAGCACAGCTGATGCCACTTTTTAATTAGTGCTGACTGACAGAGAGGCCAAGCATTGACTGGGCCTGGGCAAGAAATAATAATAACCCTTGCATATAAATGGTGCCAATAGTTATACCTAAGGCATTTTTAGGTTATTTCTTGCTCTGATACTATCCATGCTGACCCCGTTGTGTGGATGAAAGGAGATCTACAGTATCCCCGGCTATCAGTCAGCAGTATTTTTCTACCACTGAATTTATACAAACAAGGAAAACCAATATTATGTAGATTGCTTTCAAATGACACATTTGTAGTGACCTCAACATTCACATGCTATTTTCTTATGTAGAGTTTCCATTAACTTTCTACAATGGGATTAGTCATTTTTTTAGTCCCAGTTGTGACCGACTCCATTCTGTAACAGATGCATAAAGATCTGGGATTATGACACAGAGAAACAAATAATGATCACAAAACAACTCAGGAGATTAGAACAAGGATTTAAAATCCAAAAGCATCTGGAGCTTAAAACTTGAAGTAGGATCTTAGCAAACTACTAATTTTTGCTTTACCCAGCTGGAAATTGGGGCCAAAAGCTAGTCTGTATTGGATGCAAGTTATGGACAAGGTTGACACCCGTACTCATGCTGATTATCAGCTTACTCCCATGAGCAAACCCAATGAAATAAATAGGACTACTTTGAAAGTATCACTAAGATTAAGGGTTTCAAAATCTGGCATAATCACAACTGCATTTTCTTGAGTAAGTAGCTAAAGGAGAAAAAACACTGCCAAAGAAATGAAACATAGGTAGACATATCTGTAACAGGCATGCAATTAAATATGTAGACAGATACACAAACCTGGCAGACTGCATTAATTCTGGTGTAACTTCTACTGCCTTTAACAGAACCTCACTAGTGTTGAATCCGACCTATTTTTCACAGCTTTCTGATTGTTGTTACCTTAGAGTGGAATGTGATCATAGGTGCCATTTGGAATGGGGCTTTGAGGGACAGACAGATTGTGAGTAACAATATCCCTGTGACTATGGCACGAGTGGCTTTTTTCCGTCACTGAAAATTCACTGTACACACAGAGAGAGATTAAATTACAGGCTGGTGAGAGAAGCAAATGGTATTTTTGCTAGTTTGAGTCACCCCCTCAGATTAGACAATCTTCTTACTGCAATATACTTTCATCACAAAAATGTTCATTATGTGGCATTCACAGATAAAACACTTTCACTTTAAATATACTCTAAATGATTTTATAGTATCATGTTTTCACCAAAACCTCCTCTTTAAGGTGCATTCTGCTCTAATGCAGATAATGCACATCTCTGGAGAGAACCCTCCACTTTTTTCATTTGATAGAATTTGTCTTACAATGAAACGCTCAAAGCCAATTAACCTCTGGAGGCTTACTTGCTGTTTTTGATTTAAAAAAATACTTGTAGGTGTCATGGGCAGAGCAGCAATACGAAAAAAAGAGAACTAAGCGTGCAGCCCTGAGAGACTCCGCAGAAAATCTTTTCAATGACCCTATGTGGAATCAGCAGTGGTACCTGGTAAGGGTTTATTTTTATGTAATAATAGTGGGTGAGGAATGTGAGTTTTACTGATCAGCTGTGTTATTTCACTGATGTCTGAGAGGTTGCACAGGAGGGAGCAGGTTGCAGCCACTTTCATTAATGTAGCCTATGGAAACTACAGACCTCAGCACTTGATATCCCTGAGCAACATTCTGTATTTTTTAATCACAATGCATACAAAGGCTATGAAAGCCAGTTCGAATGTCTAATGATTGAAATTATGGGAACATTGCAAGGCTTTTAAACAGTTAAGAGCCATGTTAACAATAACATAAGCATTTTCCTTTTTACATATAACATAGACATCTCCAGTTGTACCCTGTGACCAGAGGCATATTTCTTTGTTGAAATACTGCATATTCCAGCAGAGAATAAAGCTTTATCTGTGTAAGGTGTTGAGCTCCTTCAGCTTCTGCTGACACTGATTGGAGTTGAAGATGCTGTTTCTGTTTCTCATCTGGTCAAATCCTTGAGGGGGCTGCCTGCCTTCTACAAGCTTCCTGTGATACTAAGCTAAATTCACCTGAATGCACAATGTGTCTACTCATGCCTGTCTCTTCAGGCAGTATTGTGTACACCCCGAGGAGGGGATAGCTGGAGGAGTGGATTCTGAGGCAACAGACATCTCCAAATACTAACATGGCTTACATGGTTTGAGGACTTGCATTTGTCCACATTGCAGGTCACAGAGTAACCTGCACTCTGACCTGCAGAGTCTCTTTGGCCCTTTCCTTCTCTTGTTCAAGTGCAGAGACTTTAATTTTAAATTATACTAGGAAAATTATTCCAGCAGAGATTCCTAAAATCTCCCATCTAATAAGGCAATGGAAAATACTAAGAATCTTAAATTTCTAGGAAGCTAGATCCTAGACATTACTCTGCTTACTTTTTAGACTAATTTCTAGTGGGGAGTACACACACACTTGGCCACAAATGCATGCAAGTGCACATGTGGGTGCATGCACCCACATACATGTATAGAAAGACAATTTGTTTTTATGGAAAATGCAATGGACTGCAGTCCAGGAAACCTAGTTTGCCTTCCAAGCTCAGGCACTAATTCTTTGCTGAGAAAGTCATTTCATGTCTTTGCACTTCATTTTCTCTATATGTAAAATACAGACCATGATATTTCCACTACTTTACAAAGCATTTTGAAATCCTCAGATTAAAAAAACTCTTTAAATAAGAAGAATTTTCTGCCAAAATACTTCCAGGTTCTTCTAATGTAGTGATTGTTTGCCGCTTTGATGACAAAATAGAGCCCCCTTGTACTCTTGCCTCAAGTTATACTCAAGCATCATCGGAACAACAGTTATTTGATGAGTGCTATAGAAGATATCTGTGACCTAAAAGTAATTCTCTGAACTGCAGCAATCAGAAAATCAAGCTTTAAAATACAAGCTATCTTGCTCCCATAATATACTGCATTGCCTGGGTCTTACATTCTGTTCAGTATTCTTTTGGATGCAAAGGTGTTAAAAAAATGACAATACATTAAGATGCTGAGAGATGCAAAGAAAACATTGACTATATCTATGCCTGGGATTTAATGGTAATCTTAATAAAGCTTTTATATATTAAAAATATAGAGACTTACCATTTAAAGAAAAATGATCCATTTCAGATTTAATTTTTGAAGACGAGTCTTTCAAAGAGTTGAGGAAATAAGTCACATTTCCAAGTGTATTTTTTCAGTGGAACAATAATAAAAGTAATAAACAGCACATTGTGATTCAGTACAGTCCTTCATATCTAGTCTACTACTAAATTGCTTTAGCTATTAATTGTTTTCCAATAGCTAATCTGGACATCAAAGAAAGAGGTACCATTTGAAAAAACAGCATTAGAATCCTGCATATTCCAGCAGAGAATAAAGCTTCAGTCCAACAAGGTCTTGAGTTTTTTCTATTTCTACTGATTTGGATAAGAATTAAAGATACTCTATTTTGAGTCTAATGAATGGAAGAGGATTTCCAAAACCAGCATATCCTACTCCTACCCAGCCACAGACATACTAAACATAAGATCTTAGGAAAGTAGGGCTGGAAGGGACCCCACAATGTCACCTAGTCCAGCCCCCTTCTCAAGGCAGGATCATCCCTGAATAACAAACCCAGCCAAGTGTCTGTCTAACCTGCTCTTGAAAATATCTACAGATGGACATTCCACAGTTTCTCTTGGTAGACTGTCCTATGGCTTGACCACCTTCATTGTCAGAAAATTCCTTCTAATCTTCAACCTAAATGTCCTCTGCTGCAGCTTGAGGCTTTTGCTGCTAGTCCTGTCCCCTACAGCCACAGAGAAAAGCCCATCTCTTTCCTCTATAACCAAGGTTGTCAATGTTTTTGGGCACAGTGCCAAAAAAGCCCCACAACCTTGACTTGTAAGATGTTGGCATGCCAGAGGCTGATGGCAGGGGAGCTGTGAGGGGCCTGATCCTTGTTGTGGCAGTGCGGCCCCAGCCCCTTCCCCACTGTCAACCCAGAGTCATGCATGCACCCACCACCAGCAACAAGCTGGGTCAGGGCTCCATGCACCCCAGTGCATCTGCTTGCAGCCTCCCTGTCACCTACTGCAGTGGCAGAGGGGCTGCCCAGAGCCTGGGCTGGCTGTGACATGCTGAGTAAAATGTTTCCCATGCCATGTTCTGGCATGCATGCTGAGGGATTGCCTCCCCTGCTCTGTAATTGCTCTTCAGATATTTAAAGACAGTTATCAAATTCCCTCCCCACTCCCTCAGTCTTCTCTTCTCACTCCTGAAAAACTCTAGTTCTTTTAGCCTTTCCTCATAAATAATGCTTCCCAGATCCCTGATCATTTTTGTTGCTCTGCTGTAGACTCTTGCCAATCTGACCATTTTCTTCGTGAAGTATGGGGCCCAAAACTGGATGCAGTACTCCTTGTAAGGCCTCATCAGTACCAAAAAGAATGGAAGAATCGCTTCTCTTCATTTGCAAGTAACACTTCTGTTGATACAACCCGGTATGCTGTTGGCTTCTTTAGCAATAAGAGCACACTGTTGGTTCATGTTCGGCTTATGGTCCACTCTCTGCCACCATACTACAGTACGTGCAGCCTACCCAGTCATTCCTCAGTCTGTATTTGTGCATGCAATTACTCCATCCCAAATACAGGACTTTATACTTGTCCTTGCTGAATCTCATATGATTGATTGTGGACCATTTCTCTAGTCTGTCCAGGTCATTTGTGATCCTAACCTGCTCTCAAGAGTGTCTGAAATGCCACTCAATATGGTGTCATCTGCAAATTTGCTTAAGCATGCACTCAATCCCATCATCCAAATTATTAATGAAGATGTTAAACAATACCAGACTCAGGTGAGATCCCCGCAGAACCTCACTTGATACCTCCTCCCAACTGGACAATGAGCCATTGATGAATACCTGTTGAACATGATGATCCAGTCTGTTTTGTATTCACCTAACAGTACTTTTGTCCTTTGCTTATTAATAGGAATGTCATGGGATACAGTGCCAGAAAACTTGCTAAAATCAAAGTATATCACATCCACTGCTCCCCCCACTTTCACAAAGCCTCTAACTTATCATGGCAACAAATCAGTTTGGTCAGGCATGACTTGCTCTTGATGAATGCTGGCTGTTCCTGATCATCTTCTTCTCTAGGTGCTTCACAGCAGATTTCTTGAGGACCTGCACCATGATCTTTCCAGGTATTGAGGTCAGACTGACTGGTCTATAATTTCCTGGAAACTCCTCATTGCCTTTCTTAAACATGGGCACTACATTTGTCCTTTTCCAATTATATGGGACCTCATCCAAACTTGAAGAGGATAGCTAATGGCTCTGAAATTACCTCATCCCATTTCTTCAGTGCCCTAGGGTGCAACCAGTCCAGTCTTGCTAAAATACAGTCTTCTTACCTGAGATATCTTGAGGAAGAATAGTAAGTCTTCTTGTGGATGAAACAGGGAGGCTGGCTAGGGAAAAGAGGTTGTTTGAACAAGTCCATCCTTGTGAAAAATCTGGATAAAAATCTGTGAATTCAGGACAAAGACAAAACAATGTTGATTAAAGGTTCTTAGCAATTTGGCCTGGAAACTTTGGACATCTCTTGTATAAATTTATGCTTATTATCTTTTTTTTTTTGTAGCAAGATACAAGGATTACTCCCTCTCTGCCTAAGCTAGATCTCCATGTTATACCTGTATGGCAAAAAGGGATTACAGGCAAAGGTGTTGTTATAACTGTCCTGGATGATGGCTTGGAATGGAATCACACTGACATCTATGCTAACTATGTAAGTTTGTTCATTAGAATGCTGCAAAGTCAGCAAATTACTTGCAGACCTTTATATAAAAACATTCTAGTCTGGTTTGCTCCATGATCAGAAAGGCTGCTCCCACATGACAGAGCCTGAAACACTTGCCTCAAGCATAATTCAGAGCCTGGGCTGTCTCACTGGGAGTTGAATAATAGTGAGCTGCTCAGTGTGTATTAGTACCTAGGCATATTTAGACATAATAGTTTAATGCTGGACTATTAAAAACCTTTTAGCTATTTGTGAATTTTATATCTGTTAATAGCTATTAGATTTTAATTATTTAGTTTTTACCTCACACAAAAACATATATAAATAAATAGATGCAGATAAGAACTCCATTTCAAGACACATTTGAGAAAAAAAAACTGTCTGTGCCCCAGAAAATTAAAACAGCAAAGAAATATATTAAAAGCTGTGATGGAAAATCACTTCAAGACAGGATGGGAAAGTGGAAGCTCCTGGGGTCCGTTATAGTCATAGTACTGACTACCATTTTGTAGCCTTGTGCAAGCCACTTAATCTGTGTCTCAGTCTTCCCATCTGTAAAATGGAGATAATTCACTTACTGTTCAGTGGTGTTATTAGCTGAGCTGTCTAAAAATTGGTTATATGAAAAAAAATCAATTTTCAAACACTTTTAAGATGTACCTTTCTTATGCCATGATTTTTTAAACAAAATAATATATTGGATTCAGAAATATATTATTGAAATGCCTGTCATTCTTATTTCACCAAAAAGCATATTTTAGACAAAATAAACCACAATGCTTCATGAAAAAAACTTGTTTGAAAAGAGCTTTTCCACTTTTCAGTGGAAAAACCTTTTAGTGATAAACATTCTGCCTAGCTTTAATTTTGCAGAATCAGTGAATTTTTGTTAAATTATCTGATAATCCTGTGCCCTTCAGCCAAATATCCCAACTCCTCCATTCCTTACCCTCAACAGGCATCCCAGTACAAACCTTCCAACAGCCAAAGCTGCCAAAGGTTTAGTAGTTTCAAAATAACAGTTTCCAAGTGCAGAGTAATCAATACCTATTCTAGAATATTAAATAAAGACTAAGCATCACATTATACATTTGTTTTAGAGAATCTTTTTTTCTTTTGGTAACTACAGTATCTGTTTTTTAAATTTAGGATCCACAGGCAAGTTATGATTTCAATGACAATGATCATGATCCCTTTCCTAGATATGATCCAACAAATGAAAACAAGTAAGTAGTCTTTCATGTTACGGAAAGAAAAAGCAGTAAAATAGTATTCTTTGCCTTAGAACAGACAAAGGCAGAGCTTTTTGCCATTTACCCTGAAAAGGCTCTGTGCCCAAAAGGATTACTGTATGTGCTAAAGGGAAAAAATGATACTATTTTGATGTAAATTCTATATGGAAATTGATTAAATTTCCAAATAAGTATGAGCATTTTTAGTTTAATTATTACATTTGATAAATTACACGCAGTATGTATCGGGGTTGTTGGGGGTACCAGTGTTGGTCTAAGGACATAGGCAGACGAGGTTCTTTGGGTAAATGTGACACCTTTTATTAGACCAACTAAATAGTTGGAAAAATTGCTTTTTGCAAGCTTTTGAGTGCAAACACCCTTCTTCGGCATAGGGAGAGTCATCCCTATGCCTGGAGAAGGGTGTTTGTGCCTGAAAGCTTGCAAAGAACAATTTGCCAACTATTTAGTTGGTCTAATAGAAGATATCACTATGTAAGAATTATTACATTCTGAAACCTTCTTCTTCCTATATTTGTGTGTGTAAAATACTAATAGCACCTCTGCAGGCTTCAAAGGAAAAAAAACCCTTTGGGGTAAGTGCTCCTGTATTATAGGGCACACCATCTGACTAAGTACCTCATGGCTGCAGTTAGGCTTTTAATCCTGGTTAAGCATTAGGGACAATGAAGAGCCACCTATTGGCAGTAAAGTTTGGTGTTGGAGGAATATGTCCACTGAATATTCTATTACAGGGATCCAGCAGGCTCCCTCCCTACCTGTGGGCAGTTTCTTCAGGGGCATTTTATAGCATTTTGTGGCAAGAAACAAGTGAGGAACCTTGTCTCATGACCTCTTCTTTGGTCATACAACACCATGGGGGTTCTACTGAAGTTAGGTTCTTTCATGTTGGGTTTTGTCCACATAGAAGAGAACCTCCCTCTAACAGCCATAGCACAGAATGAATGAGTCGATTCCCTCAACCAATTAAAATGCCACTGCTAAAAAAGATACAAGGAGGAACTGACATTGGTTCCCTTTTGTCTATTAGGCACTATCCAAATCATGAATCAATAGTTGCAATGGAAATAAAGTCATCACTCAAAGGATAAATGTCCCATGATTTTAAAAAAATGGATATCTCTACTTTATTACAGCATTTAGCTATCACTGGGTGGCCACTGTTCTCTGATACTAATGGCATTATCTCTGAAATCTACCTTCATTATGTCCAGTCTTTATTAATATATACATGGAATTCAGCCCACAAGCATCCAAACACCATACTGTGTACCAAGCAGTAGTACTAAATAAAGTAAAATCTCTTACAAGTAAGTTGTTTTTATCTATTGAGGGGTAGGATTCTTTTGTGACAAAAGAATTTGAATACAAAATACCTCATTGAAGGCATAATTTAGCCTTGTTGAGGGTATTTGATTATTTTAAATGCTACCTAGTTTAGTATCAAAATAAATTCAAGCATTTTTAAAAGAATATCCAAATATTTGTTTAAAACTAGTTTTTTTTAGTTATTTTTAAGGATTGAGTATCATCTTAGTTTTCCAAATTTTCCTTGCTCTTGTAATCTGCTTCAGCAGCCATGTTATATCTCATGGTAGACATTTTAACAACAGTTAGGGCCTGGCCAAAACTACTGAAGCTACTGGGAATCTAAGGACATCATTGCAGATTGTTAGGCCCATATTATCTCTGCCTAACAATCCATTGAAAATTGAGCGGTTAAAATGATCAAAATCAGAAGATAAATATGCCATTTTTTTTTCAAATAGATGTATTCCAAGGCTATTTAATATTCAAAAAGCTGTCTTAGATCTAGGTGGAGAAAAGCCTCTACCAAGTCAACCATGTAAGTGGTGAAATTCTGTAGATTAAGCAAATGCATTTAGTTACGGTTCAATTTTAAAGCCTTTTAAAAAATTTATTTCATTCAGGCATGGGACACGATGTGCAGGAGAAATTGCCATGCAAGCCAATAACAAGAAGTGTGGAGTTGGAGTAGCATATAATTCCAAAGTGGGAGGTAAGAAAACAAGCAATACTTTGCCCTCAACTTTACTATTTCTCACGTGAATGAAAACAAAGTGAAACAGGGAACTGGCTGTCCCAAGGCACTGAGTGCCCTACTGGACTTTCTCAGCCATCATCCATTCTTGTTCAAAACTCTCAGCATTTCTCAGGAGTTACTCAGCACTCCACAACGTTGGGATTTTTGAGAGTGTGTTAAAATAGTGTAAGTAGTTACCTTTATCTCAAGCCTTAAGCAGCCATCAGTTTCTCAGGGTTCAATCTATAAGTTGACTGTTCATTCTAACCAAATCTATAAGTCTGTTTTTAAATAAAGAAATGGTTGGTTGTTACCTTATCTATTCTACACAAAATTAAATGAAGAGTAAAAGGAAGAGAACTCAATTTCCTGTCTTTTCTTGTTTAGAGTGTCTATACAGTTAAATTGAAAGGTCACAGCAGTAGAGAAATTCACATTTCTGTGATTTTGATTTCAATTACTTGTTTCTCCATGTCAATTATATGTTAATTTTGAAAAGAAGTAGAGGCTTGTTTATCCATCAATCAATATTGCCCTTTTTAAAAAAAAATGACTGGAAGTCTTGTCTATTATAGGTTTGTGAAATAGACATGATCAAAATATCAGTTGCAAGTGGTTATTTAGCACAAAAGGAGATAGACTTGTAGATTTGTAGTTTTTCAATTTCACATTTTTTCTTGCTCTTTTATGAAATGGGACAGCTCAGATGAGATTGACAGCTGAGATTACTATTCTTGCCACTTCAGTCTGGTGTTTATGAGCTCCTATTTTCTCTTCTGGGTTTTGAGCTGTCACAAATGTTACTTTCCAGTCCACCTTTGCCCTTCTGCATTATACTTTTATACTCTGCTTAAATAAAATACCCCACTCATTAGGTGAAGATGCCAGATTTTAAGAGCAGGGTGGAATAGCAGAAATTTTAAAAATATACCCGCTGTACTGCCCACTTATCTGTATGAACAATTGCCTAATTTGTAAATGCAGATATATCTCTGCTGCTTCCTGTGTCCAGGAAAGGGAAGTAATGGAGGAAAGACAATGAAAAATTATTGAAAAATTATCCAGAAAGGTGATTATCTTTCAAAAAAAAAGAGGAAGAAAATTCAGGGAGGCATAAAGTTGAAGGGAATGGAAAGCAAAATCTGGCCAAATCCCCAGAGATAAGGAAGTGACAAGAATCACACTTGAAGAAAGATTTACCATACACCATAAACACCTAAACCTAGGAAGTTTATTTTCCACCTTTTCTTTGTAGGTAATTCTGTATCTATGATTGCTAGTATAAGGTGTATGAAACAATAACAGCTCCAAATACTTCAGGATTAGTATTTCAAGCTGTTATTTGAACCTAGGAATTATCATACCAGAAAAAGTCTAGTGGTCCATCAAGTCCAATACTGTGTCTGACAAAGTCTGTACCACCTGCCCAAGATGAAGTAACCCTGAAGCAAGCTATTCTGGAATAACATATTTTCAGGGTATGCTCTGAGGTTTTATGAGATTTTATATTCCTTCCAAAAATTCTTGTTCCTTTACCATTATAACTATAAATGCTCTCATTATCTATCTAAATTCTCAGTCTTTTAATGCCTGCTAATTTTTGGTCCTATTCGTATCTTGTGGCCTTAAGTCCTGCAGGTTTATCATGCATCATGTGGGAAGAAAAACTCATCCTTATTTCATCTTTAAATGTATTGCCTTTCAGTTTAATTTACTGTCCACTTGCACATAGTCTTTATAATGTTGTATCATAGAAAAATGTGCTGTATGCCATGTTTTATTTATTAGATTTATATCCTACCCTGTGCAAAAGGCTCAGAGCAGCTATTGTTATATGTCATCCAATAAATGGAACATGTTTATTCACACATGCCCAACCACAGCACTGAGCTATTTTTCTGATGCTGCCATGGAAATCAAATGATGAAGAAGCTGCATTTTATGAAGGACTGGGTTGAGAGTTCTAGTACCGTGCATGTACTACTAAAAATAGCCTTCGGCTAAGCAGATACACGTATCTGCCTGAAAATTCCTTTTGCTTTTGCTTGCTTTTGAATTCATGAGGCTGAGGATAGGAAATAAACAGACAAAAAGGAAAAGTGTGGATAAATAATAGGACACTACCCAAAAACTAATTGAAAAAATATCCATTGAAGTAATTGTATTCTTAAGTTTACTTAAATGATACAGGTTTTTGCAGAGTAGAACTGAAACAGCAGTCTTGCTTGAATTGCTTTTCATGGGTGTCCTGAGAATAATATTGTTTTTTCTTATATTAAAATATGGTTGGCTGGCTGTATCACCTTGGCCACATCTTTAGATTATTTATGATGGCTCCTGAATGCTAAATATTTCGTTACAGACTATTGCTAATAGCCCTGGTCTTGCAGACAGTTCCACCCAACCAGATCTTTGACCTTTGTACAAAGCCCATCATTGATTTGAGTTCCTTTCAACATTTGAAAGGAACTGGCCATGGTGAACTGATTTCAGGAACAGAGTTCAATCTGATGTATGCTAATACATAATAAGTATAATATATACATGCTTATACATAATGTATACTTTCTCATGGTTGCAGCCTAGGCCTGGATGTCAGGATTCCTAAATGTAGTCTCAGTTTTACCATTGATTTAGAGTGACATTGGTTGAGTCATTTTGTGCCTTACTTACTAATAAGTAATAGGGGCAATACCAGGGTGACCATACATCCCAGTTTGGCGAGGACAGTGCTGGATTTCCTAGGCTGTCCCAGCATCCTTGTTACTTGGTGGAAATTGAAGCAAAAGCCCCATATTGGCAGGGATCAGCTGGGGCAGGGCAAGGCAGGGGGAAAGCACTGCTGTGAGTGTGGGCTGCTCACATTGTATATGTGTGTGTCTGGAGGGGTATGCTGTGGGGTGGGTCAGACTGCCTGAGCAGGGGTCCCTTTCCCACTCCTGCCCACCCAGCTGCCGGTAGGGACCCGTGTCTGGGAGGGGCAGCTCCAGGGTCTGGGTTCTGCCCTGGGACTACAGCCCTGCCCAGACTGGGCCAAGCAGCAGCAGCAGCAGCAGCAGCAGCAGTAGCAGTAGCAGCAACAGGCCACCTGGTTGCAACCAGCGTTGCACCAGGTGCTTGCCTGTGCTGCCTGCGCAGGGGGATTGCAGAGCCACGGGTCTGGCTATGCTGGCTGTGGGGGTGCTGTGCACCTGGGTTTGCACAGAGCCTGGTGCCCCCTGCTCACCAGTCTGCACCTCCTTCCAGGTGCTGCAGCTGGGAGCCAATGGGGTGCCAGGTGAGAGGGTACAGACACTGGGTTGGGGGGCTGAGAATCACAGGGGCACAGGGAATAAAAATAGCATGGTGCACCAGACAGGTGGGCAGGCAGGCACTGCTGTTGCCTGCCTGCCTGGCACACCATGCTGCATTGCCCCTGCCTGCAGCAGTGCTGCTGGCTTGGGAGAGTGGTGGGGAAAGGGAGGGGGGAAGGGAGAAGGGGGATGAGCAGTGTCCTGTACTTCCTATGGTCCCATATGGTCACCCTTATAATAGTTAACTTTTTTTGAGGCATCAGGAGTGTTAAAGGCCATCTGCAAAGGGCAAACAGTTAACTTCTGTATTTTTTTCCATTTTAACAATAACAAAGCTCAAGAAATTGAGAGACTCAGATCTTGTTGATCTTATTTGGAAAATAACTATGTGAACATCTACACTAAAAATGATTGACCATTGTTCATCCCCTGTCCTCTTATGGAGCAACTATTATGGTGCTCGGTTGCCAGTGTAGACAGAGCCCAGGCATTTTAATTGTGATGCCAGGAAAACCTGTTTGGAACCTGGACTACACTAATAGTTGTATTGTTACTACCACTGGTAGAGCTGCACCATCATTACTGGAATTTTGCAAAATTCCCTACCATTTCTCAGATTGGCAGGGAAGAGCATTAGCAGTGTGAGGAGCTCTAGTGCACATGAGCCACTAGCTGCCACTGCAATTTTAAGCATACAGAAATTAGAGTTGCTCTGAACTAGATTAGATTGTGCAGTTCCTATTAAAATGTTAAAGGCTTGCTTCCACTGGGCTTTCAGCATCGCTAGGAGTAGTGCAAACAAGCAATATTAATGACAGTGGGAAAACTGTGCAATACTCCTTGCCTTGTGAAGATTGAAGAGCTACTGAAATAACAATACCATACATGACAAAACAATGAAAATTTAATCTCATCAAGAGGGGATGAGATTTTCTTCAGACTGTTTAAAATTCTTTGTTTAAACACAACTCTCAGAGTCAGTCAAAATTTGTAGAGAAAAAAGATTTTTGAAAAGTCTGGTTTTGAAATCATATATTCAGCTTTAATGCTGGACTGACTTTTAGAAGAAAGGAAGCCTATGATAAAGATCTAATGCTGAAAGAGAGATGAAGAATTTCAAATAAGTGTGTAAAATGCACCTGCACTGAGAAATTCAGAGATCTGCAAAGAAAACAGTATAGACTAGACTTGCTTTTTCCTAAAATTTCAGAGATGGAAACCAAGCATCCAAGGGGGGGAAGGGGGAGAGGGAATCGGGGACAAACCTCATATATTCTTTCAGAAACTTGCTAACAGAAAAAAAAGGAAAAGGCACAACCCAATTTTTAGATCTCTCTTAATGTTTGCAAAGGACACTGAGACCCTAAGTGGACTGGTGTTGTGAAAGGCAAATAATGATGATTATTATGGCAGAACTTAGGGGTTATAATCCTAGATCAGGGCAGGCAATGAAAAAGCTGGGCCCTCATGACAATAATGTACAATGAACTTGTTTTACCCTTTCTACCTGCACTTTTGATATTCAGGTATACGGATGCTGGATGGAATAGTCACTGATGCCATTGAAGCCAGTTCAATCGGTTTCAATCCAGAACATGTGGATATTTACAGTGCAAGCTGGGGTCCAAATGACGATGGTAAAACTGTAGAGGGACCTGGCAGACTAGCACAGAAGGCTTTTGAATATGGGATCAACCAGGTAAGATATCTGACAGACAGTTAAGTTGAAATGTTCTCAAGCTTGTAGGCAAAGACCAGATTTTAAAATGGTTCTCAGAGAGAAAATGGAATGCTCTTTGTTTCATCCTTGCAGAAGTGCTTTCTTCATCCAAACCCATTTCAAAAACAGACTCATTCTTTGGAGAAATATGAATAGTAAGGCTCAGTGAAATTTACCTTCCAGGCCCTGACTTTCATGAAAGTGCTGTTTCAATATTCTGCTTTTAAGCCATTTCTCTGCAGTCTAGATCTCCTCCTTCATCTTTCCCTTCAGTGCTTCCCTCCCCCACCCTCCTCTGTTGGCTTGTTTTGTTCTGAATAGTAATTGGATTTCTGCACTGAGCTCCTATAAAAAATTAATATGAAGTTTACTGCTTCTTGAATATTTCACTTTGTAAAATTGTGCTGTATTTTAGCACCATGTGGATGGGTTTTGTCTTCCTGTTACTTGCACTGGGTTAATTGCATTAGTTCATAAGCTGAGGCATAACATGATCCAGTTAAAATGAAGATAGTAGAAATGCATGTTAGAGAATACTGAAATGGTGGCTTTTAAGTTCTCTTTTATGGTATTCCTTTAGATCTGATTAGAGGACGAGGAACTCATTGAATGTGAGCTGCTGTGTATATGCACAAACATGGTTCCTACATTTAGTCAGGAGAAAGTGAACAGGTACCACATCATGGCGTAGCCATAATAAAGAAGAGAACTGCAGCACGGAGGTGAATGAAGAAAGGAAGAGAGCCTGAAGCATGAGGGACTGCAGCAAAAGAGAGAGAGGAATCTGGAGAAAAGAAAAAGCTAAATGCATCAGAAACAGGGAGAGACATTGAGGGCACTGACAGTGAAGAAAAAACTGACAGATAATTAAAGTGCTGGTAAGGGACAGAAGGAAACTAAAGAGGGAAGGTTGGAGATAGATGGAGGCTTGGAATGGGAAAGACAAAAATTGCCAGGTGGGTGGCAAGGGAAAGTGGGTCCTAAAAGGCAAGGCATGGTGACCCAGTACCACAAAGATCCCTCTGTACACACCTGAAAAATCTGCTTCATAAGGAGTGCAAAACTATTTCCATTTCAATTTCCATGTTGGTTTTATTTTGCATCAAAGAAAGCAAATTAATCCATTAGTTCAGGCATCTTGCAGGGGCTGGATATGCCCTCACCTCCCACCAGTTAACTGCAGGTGAAGATTCTCATCTAGTTTTATGATTAGCCCCTTACATATTGATCCAGTACAGCACTCAAGAATATGCTTAACTTTAAGCATGTGAGTAGCCTATGCATAGTACTCCCAGAGGCAATGGGGTTGTTCAAATTCTCCAATATTTTGGTGGATTGGGACATTACTTGCTAAAAGATGTCATTCCTTTTATTGTCATCTCTGTGGGAAGCCCCCAGTAATGTTTATGGAAAAAATGTAGCTTATTTATCTATCCCTGGTTTTTTTTACGGTTTTTTTTTTTATTATTTTGAGAGTGCTGCAATGGTCCCTCTGCCCCTGAGCTGGCAACTTCAAAGATCATCATCAGGAATTAATTGATGATCTGCATTTCTGATTGCTCTTGGTACTGAATATGCATACATTAGTACTGAATTAAAATACAGGCTTCTGCTTTTCACATTAAGCAGAACTTTTCCACTAAAAGGCTATCAGATTTTATGATATAATGGCAAATATTTGTTCAATCCAGAAGAAGTGTGATGGTTTTCATGCTCTTCTGGCACCCCATGACCTGAGCTACCAGCATCTGTATAGCTGCTACTAATTCACTATACACTGGAGACCAGAATAGGAAATGGAGATGGTTGTGCCCTGCAACTGTCTGGGGCCTTAGAGATTTGGAAGTGAGGGGAGATTTTGCAATAAGATGAGCTTATTGGTTTGCTGGTTTTCATCAAGTAAATGTCAAACTATGAAAGGTTTAATTAAAAGGGACTTATATGAGAATTTCATATCACACATCATTCATGCTACTCACCAGTGCTACTGTGATCATAACAAATGCGAATGGGATTAACTCATGATGAAATTTCCATTTATTAAAAAATACTGATTGTTGTCACATGCTCTACATTGAATATGCTCATGTGAAAATATATTCTACCAATACCACTTTTAATTTGAGCTGAAACTTATTTCCAGTAGAGTGGTAGATGACACCATTAGCTGGAATATTTATAACTACAAAAGACAAATCACAAGAAGGTATACTATAGGAAGCAGTTCTGTCTGCACTGGAATCTAACACAGAGGTGGCCATGCTACAAGTGGCACAGGCAGATTCTCTGTGTGGCATGTGACAGATCAGGGAGGGGACAAGCAATACAACAGCAGATAGGGCAGGAAGCAGAAGGCAGAGCAGGAGCTTGGGGAGGGAGCACAGAGCAGCTAGGAGAAAGCAAAGCAGCAGATTGGGTAGTAGAAGGGGATTAGAGTGGTGTTCAGAGAGAGTGCAGGGCTAATTTGTGGTATAACTGCCAGAAAGTCTGGGCCCCACTCACCTAATAGGTCTCTTCTGGTCTAACTTCTATGTGTCTTATGAAAAGTTACCTTTTCCTGGTCATATGGTCTAAGTCCGGACATTCAAAAAGCCTGAGGCGGAATCAATCTGTGTTACGCAATTTTCTGTAAGTGACGTGGTTTAGATTGGTAGCAAACACAACACATGGTCGTCGTCTGCGGGGAGGTGCAGGTCTTAGACTGGGTTCTGCCATTTTTAAACCAGTCTATATGTGCTGAACTTCTGTTCTGAGTATAGACAGGTTTTGTGTGCCAAACTTCTGTTATGGGTATAAACTGCTTTCCCTTATTCTGGTAAAAGTGTAATGTCTCTACCTGGCCTTACTAGTGAGAATAAGATTTTTGGTAGGAACATGTTGGAGAATGTAGACCATAACTGTTCCTTTCATTTCTTCTAGGGCCGAAATGGAAAAGGTTCCATTTTTGTATGGGCTTCTGGGAATGGTGGTCGTCAGGGTGATAACTGTGACTGTGATGGCTACACAGATAGTATCTACACTATCTCCATTAGCAGTGCTTCCCAACAAGGCCTTTCTCCTTGGTATGCAGAGAAGTGCTCCTCAACTCTGGCCACAGCATACAGCAGTGGGGATTATACTGACCAGAGAATTGTAGGTTGTTTTTACCAGATTTAACAAACATCTTGAGGAATACACATAGAACCATTTATATATGAAAACTATGAAGCAGAAACAACTTTAAATGGCTGACTTTAAGTGCCTACTTTATTTATGCTTTATATAGCACTAATATTTTCATTCTGGAACCCTGGACAATGAGGATTACAAGTCATTTGTACTCCTAAAATACTTTACACTAAAGCAGTACATGCATGATATCATTAAATCTGCATTGTAGGTCTCGGAAATGTTTTGTTGTTTTTGTGTGATGGATGTCTCTGCATCTGCCCATTCTGCAAAAAGGGCAGACCTTCAGAATGATTCTCATCCATCTCTGTGTTGGGACAGTTCCCGAACAGGAATGTGAGCTGATACAAATCATAAAAATACTAAACAAATTGGTTTTACATGATAGAACAAAAGAACATCTAGAGGAATTGTAAATTCTTGCTGACCTCAGGTGGAACAGCACATGTTCTTTAGAATGTAAGCATCTGACAGCAGAGGTATGATCCATTCGTATTAGAACTAAGTCCAAACCGACTTAGAAATCCTATAATTTGGGGAAGTTTGAGTTCAAATCTGCTAACAGATCTTACATTTCTCAGTGCCATTTCTAATTGGGACCTTGAACTTTTTAATACAAAAATAAATACTTCAAAAATGATCTTGTACTAAGAGGATCGTGTAGTTTTAAGAATGAAAATGGCTTTATGTTCATATTCTTTGAGACTAGAGTTAAACATTTGAAGGTAGCCCTAGATTTTACTTTTTTCACACTATCTCCTAAGGTTGAATTTCCAGATGCCCTAAGAATTTTGTCTCTACTACTTACCATTAACATTCAGTTAGCCTAAGTGCTTATCATTATCACTAAAACCGGCTGGAAATTTTGGATGCAGATTTTTCACCCCAAAAATACAGTTTAGTGAAAGCCAAAATTTCCAGTAACCTCATCCAAAATATCAATCCCAGTGACAAAGTTTGGGTGTTTTTGATAAAAAAAATCAACATAAAATGGAAATTCACATTTAATTTTCACTTTAAAATGCCATTCAAGTCATTTCTTTGGTTGATGGGGACATTCAAGTTAGATTTATTTCCTTATAGCAGAAAAGGAAATAGCTGGCAGTGCATTCTCTGTGCCTCCAGGACCAAATAACTTGCTTCCATCACCCTCCAAGCTGAAATTGTCTGAATTTGAGGACCCTGGAAAGAGGGCTGAGGCTCTAATTCCTAGGACAATGGAGGGATGGAAAGGAGTTTAATAGGTGTCTGATTGGCTGAGTTCCTGTTGAGATGATTATTTAAATGCCTTTAAGATGTGGCTGTAGCATTAATGGTAAGTAAATGCACTCACAGCCCTGAATTTATTCCAAGGGAGCTATTTAAATACGTCAGTAAATTTCAGGTTTTCCGTTTTAAAGAAATAAAATGGCCTTTTCAGTAAAAATATCAAATTGAAACAAAATTTTAGTTCAGAAAGCAGAACTTTCCACAGGAAAATAAAAAAAGGGTTTTTTGGTCCAAAATTTTTGGAGTGAAAAAATATGGTTTTCCAGCTAATTATCACAAATGTTGAGCTTGATTTTGCTACCTCTGGGCACTGACTACAGCAGTAGTAGAGGGGCTCAGTACCTTGCAACAGGCGCTCATCAAGTGGCAGAGTCACACAAGAGGTGTCTGGCAAGGTTCTTTGGGTACATGTGATATCTTTTATTGGACCAACTAAGTATTTGGAAAAAAGTTATTAGCAAGCTTTTGGACGCAGTCACCCTTCGTCAGACACAGGGAGTCTCTGCTGGTCTGAGAGGTGGTTGCTATCTATGCCTCCTTCATAATTATCCTTCTTAATTATCTACATTGTGGGAATGGCTTAAAAGCCCCAGTCAAGGACTGGGAACCCACTCTGTTAGGCACCCTACTTATGTATACCAAAACAATGAGCCTTATCTTAAAGAGGATCCCTGTGATAAGCTGTTATTTGAGGAGCTGTTCCTGCCATTCTTATCAAGCTGAAGATTATCTCTCAGTGAACTGTATGGGTAGAGATTAAAATCACTTCATTTCAGATTTACCCCAGTAGGTCAAAACATCTGCCCTTGCAAAGTGGCTTCTCTTGTAGCTCAGATGTAAAGCTCTCAGCGCACCCACTTTCATATGTTGCAGGTACATGGGCAGATAAGTTAGGTTCTTAATTTTCTAATAAAATGCATGTTTCATTTGCAAATTATAATGTTTTTGCTGAAGAGGGAATAGAACACTAATACTAATCCTGTGAGCAATTTTCAATCCTGTGAGCAGGCAGTAATTTTAAATGTTCTAGACCAAACACAATGATGTGTTTTTATGATTCACCAGTGAGTTTGAAACACTTATTCTTATTGTTGGAACGTTAGAATAAGGCAAGGTATTCAGTGTGGGAGTATTTTGTTCCAACACAAGGGATTTTGATACAAAAATTATAGTTGAAGCAAATGTAATAAATGAAATAGACTGAAGTATCAGCAGATTTAAACATCCATCCTTTTGTTTGCTGGGGGAGGGACTTTCTGAGGTGTATGAAACTGTGCAGGAGAGACTATGGAGAGCTGTGTTTTTATGTGAGGATACAATAATGTTTATGGAGGTGCCTTTTCATGGTCTCTGTGGTTGCAATGTTTGTATTTCAGACAAGTGCTGATCTTCATGATGAATGTACAGAGACTCACACTGGAACCTCTGCATCTGCTCCATTGGCAGCGGGGATTTTTGCTCTAGCCCTTGAAGCAAAGTAAGACTTCCTAAACTTTTCCAGTTTTGCCCTACCCTTATTATCAGACCACCTCTCTCAGGATGTCCAGTTCCTGTCAAGAATCAGGTCTGCTAACTTTACTAACTTTGACAAAAGGATTGGTTAATACCAGCCTTCACACCTGCTAGCCAGGCAGAGCCAACACAAGAAAAAGACAGTGAGCTGGTGATTCTACTTTGTTCTGTGCAGCAGCAACAGTTTGCTTACTGAGGAATGGTCAGCTGGACCTGAAAGTAATGAAACAACACACGTATTTGTGAGACCATAATTTGAAGGCAATACGGCTGTATAGGTTTCAGTGAGGTATCACTTCGGTCTGCAGAACCTTTAACACTAGTGATGATGCATGAAATGTAAAGTACCCAGGTATGACTGTCAAAGCAGGTAGTTCAAAAATACGTCCTTGTTAAAGACACAGAGACTTACAATGGCATATTCATAAAAATATTCTCAGAGAAGATGTGCAATTTATCAGAGGAAGCACACTAACATGAGACTTGGGAGACCCTGTCCCATCACAGACATTTAGATCCAGATTTCTGAAGTGTAAAGGCACCCAAAGATGAAGTTAAGTGCCTACTACAATTTTCAACAGTTCCCAGGTGTCTAAGTCTCAGGGAAATCAATAGGAGGTACAAACCTTTTAAAATCCTAATAAGCCTCCATTTTTGGTGCCTAAGTACCTTTGAGGAACCGGGTGTAAGTCCTTCTGTGCATCAATTTGCCATCTGTATAATGGAGATAATGGCGCCTCCCTACTTCGGAGAAGTATTAAACAGATTACAGATTGTATGCGTGGTTCTTAAGTATTACAATAAATGGAGCATCACTTAGATTTTACTTTTTTCAACAACTTTTAATGTGCAGGGCAACAGTGTATCATTATGACAAAGTCAATAGACACTTGTATAGAAATTTAACCAATCTTTTCTCAATAGCCCTAATCTAACATGGAGGGATATGCAACATTTGGTAGTCTGGACATCAGAATATGATCCACTGGCTGGTAATCCAGGATGGAAGAAAAATGGAGCAGGGTTGATGGTGAATAGCCGATTTGGATTTGGATTACTTAATGCCAAGGCACTGGTGGATTTAGCTGATCCTAAAGTGTGGAAAAGCATACCTGAAAAGAAAGAGTGCATAGTCAAGGACAACAGTTTTGAACCAAGGTAAGACTTTGCAGTGACAATTCATATCTAGTATCAGTCTCTATCTCCCAGAGCTAATGCTGTAACATAATATCTTGCACTAAATTATTCAAATAGTTGTAAATTGAGACTGAGATATTTGCCTTGTCATCTCTTACTTTGTGCAATTCACTATAAGGCTAATAAAAAAACACTATCACTCAAAACTTAATTGGGGAGAGGTCTATTTGCATATGCTTGCATGTAACTAGTATGTAGGTACTTGCAGTTGCAGGATTATTAACATAGGAACACTAAATCCAACCAGTTGAGGCATAAAGATATTATATTAAGTCTTATGCTGCTATTATGTAAGAGACAAAAAAAGGGATACCAAAAAAGGACCAGTGGACTTTAAAATAAAATCTCTAAATTGTTCCTAAAATAAAGTTTATCTAATGTGTGGCATACATTGAATACCTAGTATTCAATACACATGGTAAAAAGCTGATATCCATATGTATTTGTATAACTCACATGCATAACATCACTTTTGTATAATGCACTTTTACAAATGCACTCAGATAAAACCCTCTATGCCAGACATGCAAAAATTGTCTATCTGCTGCACATAAATAGACAAACTGCAATGAATTTCTTAATAATTAACATGTTTAATCAATAAGGATCTTTAGACCTCCTTTTTGTCTCCTCCTTTTAGTATATGGCTCTGCTTTCTAAAATAAACAGTTTTCACAGATCTACAAATTACATAATCTCCAGGGCCTTGGTACAGCTATACAGTGTGTCACCACTTGGTAACCTGCTTATTTGGGCTATTTTTATTAGAGCGCTATTTTTATTCTTCCTCTCTCTATGACAATATGCAGCTATGTTTTCCTTTTATGTTTTGAATTTAATACAGAGAACTGAGGTATATAAAACTTATTATTTTGATATGATTTTAATCCTCTTATGTTCCATTCTAAACACAATGCTCATAAAGCCCTACATTTTTAATGCATTGTGTGGGGATGGAAGCAATTACTGGAAACTGTGAAGAGAAAGCAGTACACAATGCTCTGTAAATCTAGGGAAGGTATAGGCTCTAAATTAGAATGTGCTACAAATGATTAAAGGAGCTACAGCTGCTGCTGTTTTTTCCAGCCATTTTACTACACAGTGGTACATATGCCTGCTGGTGATTTTACTGTGGCACATAACCTATAAATCTGATACACTCATGTGACATGGTTGTTTGCAGAGAATGCTTTTAAGGGGATCTTTTGTGGGACAATGAAACCTTGAAAGAAATTATCAATCATCAAGCTTACAATATAGCCATGACAGAAACTATCAATTATCAAGCTTGCTCTCTTCCATGGTTGTAGAAAAAAACAGGCTCCATACATTTAAACAATCCATGCTTGGGTGATTTCTGAATCCCTTGGGTTCTCAGAACCTGCCTGGGTTTCACTGGGTGTTTTGGATAAGCCAGGAATACAGTCTCAGTTTGATCTGTTCATGATACTAGCATAAAACACATCAGAGGGACTAATGTTGTAGGATACTAAGCAATATAATCATATACTTTCCCTAACTTTGACAGGTTATTAAGAGCAAATGGTGAAGTAACCATTGAAATTCCCACAAAAGCTTGTGAAGGGCAAGAGAATTCTGTTGCATCTTTGGAACATGTGCAGTTTGAGGCAACGATTGAATATTCCCGCAGAGGTGATCTGCACGTCACTCTCACTTCCCCATCAGGTATGGAAGGCCAAGAAATGTATTCAGAGAAATGACTTGTTGGTGCTCTTGTAATGTACAAGTTTCACCTTATTAATATTTATGTAAACAGTGCTTACTCCCTCCCAAATTAGAAATGGCTGACTACACTCTAGGGAATATCTCATTCCCTCCTAAGCAGCTCCAACTTGGAGGATGCATGTGGCAAAGCAAGGGTTTGGATGCCTATGTCCCACTGTCTCTGTTCATTTCTTCCTGTCTCCCTCCAACCCTACTTCCATAGTGCATCTTATATTCAATATGATTTAATCTTATTATTCATACTTCCTATGGGGCAGCCTGTGCTACAGTGAGCCAAAAAAATCTGTGCAGGGGCAGAAGCTGAATTATCTGGATGGTCTGAATAGATACATCATGCATGTACCAAACACGCAGGTAAAATGATGGATGCATTAAAATTATTTAGAACAACCAAGTAGCCTTAACTCTGCCCTTCAACAAGGCCACAAAGTCGGGGGGTCCCACAATCTGGGACCACGAATACTAAACTTCCCCAACCTTTGTCATGTGATTACTCCATCATGTCTCAAGAAGGCAGAGCTAAAGTTGTCTGGAGGCCTTAGCTGTACATTTCCATACCTTGTCCAGATGTCTTTTAAGCATAACTGGAATTCTGAATTTCCAGGGGTAGATTTGGGGATAGATTTGGGCACTTCAAATGATGAGGGAAGATTTTATAAAGGGATAGCCTGCATTCCTTGGCTGATGTGTACTGGGAAAGAGGCTACAGTATCTTGCTAAGCCTCCAGAGTTTTGAGTTTGAGCCCTGCTTTGGACTTATGCTGAGACTGTCACCAGCTGAACCAGCTGTGAATGGATACCTGATCATTTAGGGCAGTGGTCTCCAAACTTTTTTGTTCGTGCACCCCTATCAGTAAAAAATTTTTGAGCATGCACCCCCAATATATGTATATTTATATAAATATACATCTAAATAGAAGTTCTAATATTTTCTTCCCGCACCTCAATGGATCGTCTTGCGCACCCCACTTTGGAAACCACTGATTTAGGGGAGTCAAAGATAGCTGTCCTCATCACTCCCTGGTGTATCATTGGCTACAGAACCTATGCTGGTTACCTTTGACCTGGGCACAACTGCACAAATATTGTTCTGCTGCTAGTTAATGGGGAAAATGGGATCATGGCCACAACTGCCTGAAATACACCCTCTTTAGAACAGCAACACCCAGAGGGAAGGGCTGTCTGACCCCATGTGCTACCCAGTACTTTTTTATCTTCTGTATGATGGTACAGTATCATTTTGTATTGATATCTAGATGATGCTATTCTTTTCCTAGGTTCATGCCTTTGCTCGCTGTCCTATAAATTATGCCCACCAAATACATAAGCCATTCCTTTCCCAATATTTATGTTGTTTACTTATTGGTATTTACAGCTTATGATTGCACACTCCCTTCCCCCACAGCTTTGCTTCTCTAGACTATGTAAATATAGTTCCCCTGGTATCTCCTCATATTCAAATGAGCACAAACAAGCCTCCTACTTTGCATCAGAATCCCTTCTGCTGCAGAAATGCTTTTTTAGACTGCAGTAGTCTTTTTTCAGGCCTGTCATACAGCAATGAGAATGTTTTCTCCCATACGAGGCTGTAAGAAAACACACTCGCTAAGATTACAGTAACAAATTCTGCTCACATTTACAGCCAGGCAAACCCCAGAGCAGAACTGTGAGTAGAATTTGAACCATGGAGATTAAAGTGGTGAAGCTTTCCCCAGTTCAATTTGCTAGTACTGAACAACATGAAAAGAAGGCATGACGGGCTCTTCCTAATTATTTATTGCTGCATGTCACTCTCTGCTGTCATGCGTGTTCCTTGCTGGTTTGACACTAATACTCCATGACAACTGGATTTATGGCAATCCTGGTTAACCCATTCTTCTTGGAAAGGGATTTGAATAGCTATGAGCTAGAAGCAACATATTGCTATCCCTTAAACAAACCAAAAGCCAGTATAAAATAGTACCTTCTCCAGGTTACAGTGGAGTGCAATTGGTACTTTGATTGTGTGAAAGATGGGGAAAAAAGAGCCCTGGATCAATAAGCATTAATGTTTGCTTGTTTGTTTGCACAAATACAGGCACCAGCACTGTTCTACTGGCTGAAAGGGAGAGAGATAAGTCTCCCAATGGCTTTAAAAATTGGGACTTCATGTCTGTTCACACATGGGGAGAGAACCCAGCAGGTACTTGGGTTTTAAGAATTACTGATGTGGTAAGTAACCGTGCCAATGATCCATATGTATAGACCAGTGGATTGTAAACTGCTATCAGACATGTAGAAAAGATTTTATTTTGTGAAAAACTAGCGGTGTAATTTATTTTTAACATAAAACTTGAATAGGAGAGAGTCCAAGTGATGCAAACTCAAAAGATAAGACCAAATTCTGTTGTCACTTAAATCAGTGCAAAACCAGGATAACTTCCTAGAAGTGTAACTATCAGCAGAATGTAGCTGTTATATAGTCTCTTTCATGGTACATACTCCTCTTCCCACTGAAGAGAAACCTATTAATGCAATCTTATATGGTTTTGGAATCGAATATGTAATGGAATTTATAGATGGTTAGTTGCAAATTAGGTTTTTTTCTGTGAAGGCAAGCATGAGGCAAGTTCTGTTCTCTTTTTTTGGTACATGTGCATAATTTTCATTGATTCAAAAGCTTTTGAATTATTTAATTTCCAGAGAGTTTAGAGACCTATTCTGATGTATATCTTCCCCTATATTCTCTCTCAAAGTAATTACCACTGAATGACCAGCAAGGATTATAATGAAGAAATCTAGAGATATAAAATAAGTATATTTACTAAAACCAGATGGGAATATGGATTATAACAGTGAGCACTTTCAGAAGAAGCTGCTTGGTAGGCAACTGAGAAATCACTGCCTTCAAAGGGAGGGGGATCAATCCATGCTGGCTCACTCTGGAGAATTTCACTCAAGTTGTTTGTTAATTAGCTTGTCACTAAGGATCAGATCCTGTCAGGGGGTGAATGTTAACTTTGTGATACCGAGTGTCAAACCTCTGCTGGCCTCTGCAGAAATCAGTAGGCATTAAAAGTGCTCAGGTACTTTCAGGATCTGGCCTTTAGATCACAGGGCTGGAAATGAAGTATTGATTTTGCTCTTCTCTGGGAATATCTTTAATTGGTAGATCAGGATGCAGAGAAATAAATGGCACGGTTTGGAAGCAGAGGGCATTATAAACAGTAAGGTAAGGCCAAGCACCCATCAGGTGGACAAGGTGACAGAAATAAATTATTCTCCATATGGTGTCTAGGAGCAGAATTAACACTACTTGTAGAATTGTAAGCCCGTCAGATAACCTGGTAGCTATAGACACCCTAGTTTGCAGCTCATAGGAAGGCACCACATTTTTTTGGAATGCAAAGGTTTTCCTTTAATTGATGGCTAGTCTGTTTTCTGTGCAAATAAGAGGTACCTGAAATCTAAATCAAACTTAGCTCTCCCCCACCCCTCCCCCCGTTCCTGGCAGTTTGTTACTTCACACTAATGAACCCTTATATTAATTACACCTACCTAACAAGAGCCTCGCTTAGACTTACTGCTAATTTAGTTGTCTTTCAATCTGTATGCGTAATCTTTATCTGCAAAGTAGGCTTTTTATTATAAGACAGGACTCTTCAGCAACCACCTCAGTGGAGGCAGACAGCAGAGCAAGTGCTCTGATAATGAAGCCTGTTAAAAATAAACATCAGGCAACTCCCTACCTATCTCTTCCCTTTATTAAATTTTAGCAATACTATTCTAAAACTCCACAGCTCACAGTAGAGAGTAGTGATTTAAGTTGTAATGTACAACACTAGCATAACTAAAACTGGGTGACAAGGACAGCTGCCACACCACTGCTGCCACAGGCACACAACTATGCCAGCTGCACAGCAACAGCTAGAAGTCACTGCTGGCCCCATGTTTCACAGCTGCCCCAGGTGCCCAGCTGCATTGTTACACCTCTGCTGTACAACATGAGAGGACATTATTAAAAAAGGCTGTTAAAACAATTGTGCAGAACTTCTTGTGCAGAACTTGTTGTACAGCAGCTTAGCAGACAGTAACAACAAGAAACATCATGTGGTTTAATAATGTTTGACATCCTATAAAATAACGGAATTTGACCTATGGTAACACAGTTAATTATCAATGATACTGTGTTATAATAGCCATGTACTTGTAGCATATCTGGTCTGGTTTAGAGTCTTTGTAATAAATCTCCCTTTCTGTTATGCATTTTACCCAATAACGTATCTTTCATTGCTCATACATCAACATCTAAATTTACATTTGTTAAAAGCACTAACCTCTTTAACTGGCTTGGGGCTTTGTTAACATCAGCTATCTTTTCTTTCATCTTCCTTCATCCAGTACTAATATGATGCTAATGTCTGTCTTTTAGTCCAGGAGAATCCAAAATGAAGGGAGGATTGTGAACTGGAAACTGATTTTGCATGGCACTTCTGTCCAACCTGAACATATGAAACAGCCTCGTGTATATACAAACTACAATGCTGTGCAAAATGACAGAAGGGGAGTGGAGAAGATGACAGACTTCGTAGAGGTATCAGTTACTTTATGTTTTCCTCCATATATGTGCATATTGTTATAATAGCATAAAAGAAATATACCATTTGGGGTTTTCTGAATTCATTTACCTGCATGTACTCATTTCACCAAACCTTTACTCATTTGTTAGCTGTGTGCATACTGTGATGTGATCCATGCCCGTAAGTAAATGTTTTCAGTTACTCAACCATTTAACAAGGCATGATCTGAGGGACTTAAAAATGATTTTATGACATCAGTTCTAAAAAAGTTGAATGATTGTAGAAGGAACTTGTTCAAACAATTTGAGTTTAGAGCTCTGATCACTTCTAGTGTTTTCTGTGGGAATAGCTGTCAGGGCCCAAAATTGTTGACCCAGGTCCTATAGATGCAAGGACTGTTGGAGTGAAGCATAATACCAAATGATTCAGCATGGGTTTAGAGACTCTCCAGACCTGGACATTATCCTGGTAACCAGAGCTCCAGCTGCATTGTATTCTATTTCTTCACCTTCAAGAGGAATTGATAATTATTTATGGAAAACAAATAAAAAATGTTAGGCATCTCCGCTTTAAAGCAAAACCACGCACAACTCCCATTAGTAGGTAGGTATGTTCATAAGGGTACATCAGTAACAGAAGTACAGGTGACTCTGGGATGAAATGCAGCAGCTATTTAAGAACACAGAAGTGAAAGTGAAGTAAACCTGTATTTAACAGATACTGCAGGGGTGGAAACGATGGGCAAAACGTAGCTTCCAACATGAAATTTGGGATTCACTTTCCTATTCTTGTTGGAAGATGTATGGTGAACACTCATAATCCAGCCATCACTTCCATGTCTCATCTGAAAGACAGCACCTCCAGAAGAACTGTATTAATTATGCTGGGGAATTAGTTTGTTCCTGCATGAGAGAGGAAAATGCTTATTGAGTCACCCTCACCTTCCCATAACCAGTCTTTATAAAAGTCTCTCATCTAAGTTCTTATCAGTCCAGTCAGGCTTAACTCTCTTACAATCTGCTGGTTTCACACAATTATAATATGCTGTGATTGAGACCTGTACAGTTAAGTAATCAGCTAATATACTATACTATACTATACTATACTATACTATACTATACTATACTATACTATACTATGTTACTTGTATACAATACATTAAATAAGACATATTTTTTTTTTTCCCCCTAGAGCCACATACATTCCTATTGTTAACAAGGCCAATTTCAGAGAAAGCTTCACTGATTCCTAATGCTTTTGATCCTATTCTGTATTTTAGGACCACACCACACAGGAGAACCTAAAGGAAAAAGCCAAAGTCACAGGAGGTACCAGCAGTAGCGCTGATAAAATGGGAGACAAAATCCCATCGGAGGCGATGCTTCACCTATTGCAAAGTGCTTTCAGCAGGCAGATGTCCCAGAATCGAGCACCAAAGAAGACTCCAAGTGAAAAGTTAAATATTCCATACGAACATTTCTATCAAGCCCTTGAAAAATTAAACAAGCCCTCCCAGTTAAGAGACTCAGAGGAAAGTCTATACAGTGACTACGTTGACCTTTTTTACAACACCAAATCATACAAGCATAGAGATGATAGACTGCTGCAGGCCTTGGTTGATATTTTGAATGAAGAAAACTAAAATGTATGATACAGCACTGGAGTTGGAAATATTCATGCCCCTCCTCCCCCACCTACTCTACCTTTGTCAGCCCTGTATTTTACACGCTAGTTGTACAATTACTATTTTGACCACTTCATCCTTAACAAGGATGTCAAGAAAGGAAAAGCAGCAGAAAATGTGAGGTACTAAGCTTATGGGTGTTTGTGATCGCTCTATTCAAGGTCTTTCTTCATTAATATCAAAGTAGATGGTTTCTTTCCTGTGGCATGAAATACAACTGTAGTCCTCTGAAAATGCAGCCCTCAAGTTCAAACCCTTTTTCTTTTACTTATTTTTCCACACTTTATTCTCTGAGCAAGCATTGAGCTTGAAAATCAGGGTTGTCAAGCCGTTCTCAACTGAACTGCCAAAGCTATGGGGAGATACTGCCTTCTCCAGGCCTGTAATAAATCTATCAATCCTTATCACACATGGCATCCACTCAAGATTTAATACTAGCTACAAATACTATCACAAATACAGATTCCCTGGCCATTTTCCAGATGACAATCAACCGAAAGATCTCTATTCTATAGGAAAGAAATCTAGAATGGCTGGAAAACTTGCAGTGCATTTGAGCTTTGCAGACAGCTATAAATCAGAAGATTCCATTATCCACAGTTGAAAAAAAAAGGGATTGGACTTTATTCTGATCTCATATCAGTAGAATTTAAACTAAAATGAAAGTTAAAATGATATAAAAAATGCAGACAGAATCAAGCCAATGATCCCCATCACCAGTGGTATTGTAGAAACTACTGCAGCAACATCTGTAATCAACTTGTTTTCTCAGTGATGTTTCAGGAATCTTTGGTGAATCTTTTAGTCCTACAAGGGGCTGAGGGCTTGAGGCCAGGCGCTGGGGACAAGTCTAGAGCAATTTCACCAGCAAACTTCTGGCTCTGGACCTCATCAATGGAGTTGGGTGGGCAGGTCGTGTTCTCCCAGAGACCTGCAGCAGATGCGGTATAGGCAAGGTCGAAGTAGGCATAAGGAAGATATTTCCATAAGAGAATCCTATAAAATGGGATGACAGTGTCAGAGGTTGATTGCAACAATTCTTAAATCCTTTGGTGGGTTGAGAGGAAAATGGAGAGAGAGTAAAAAAAGATGGAAGAAGTTATCATGGGCAAAGGAACTGAAAAAAGGAGGAAAAGAATAGGTGAATGGGGAAAAGGTTGAAACAAAATAGAGAAGGAAGAGAAATATGGAGAGAATCCACTTGAATGACAGCAGGTAAACTGCTAGTCTGACTCGGATGGTGGGGGGCTTGCTGGATGAAGGGAGCTGGAACAGAATGGTCTGAAAGGGCAGCACACATCACAGCAACTATACTTCAGACACACATTTGTATTGGAAATATGAGTTGGCATATATTTTGTTACTTATAAATTTGAAAAGACAGTATGTAGTTGTGTAAGCAGGTAAAAATTGGAGGAACCTAGGGCAGGGGAATACAGGGATTTCAAGTGGTAGAATAAATGCAGTGATTAATTACAATGCCAAAGCTGTCTAAATAAGTGCTGACTAGAATTTACCTCCTTTTCTCTAATGTCTCTAAATGTCTTTTCCAAATAGATTTTAGAAATACTTATCACTGTTCCAGTATCTCCATTTCATGAGTGGTACTGGTGTCTCCCAAACTGGGAACTTTGCTTGGCATGGATGCAGATTTTCAAAACCACTGTTAAATCCTCATATTTAAAATAAAAACTTAGGTACTCAAACAATAGTGAATCCCACTGATAAAGTAACCAATTAAAAAACAACAACAGGACCTCTTTTATAAGACTTTTTAAAAACCTCAGATTTCTCATTCATTCAAATGGTATCATGTAATTCTTGGATCTAATTCTGCACTATGCCACTTTTAATTGGATTTAACTCAGTCGCCTTTAAGGAGTCCTAAAGTACATCTTCAGACTCTCAAGGCAGTGACTTCTTGTTTGAAGTGTATGTTACTACTAAATTTCCTCTTCCTTCTCTCTCTTTCTCTCTTTTCCTCTTCATTCTCTGTTATATTGGAAGTTTTTCTTGGAGGTAGGAAGTGGTCAAAAAATGGAAGTGGTTGAAACCGGAAAGCTTTCTTGTGTTTCTTATGATGTCCCTTAACACTAAGACTTAGAAAGGCAGTTTAGAGAGGTGCTGAACAGGAAAACATGACTAATTTCATAGCTAGGAGTGGACGGCAGGGTACACTAGCTAATTTCCACTCCTGCTTTAGATTTGAGTACTGGGAGCTAATTGTTATGTCATGAGCCTTAACAGTGGCTGTCTTCAGGGAGCAGCAGTAAGAGCAAACCCCCATTGCTGTATGATTACTTCATGCTTTAATAACAGCAGATTCAATAATGGACCATAAACAGTGTACTCATGTTAAATACGTTATATGTATATAAGTTATATACATGACTTTTCCTTTGTTTTAAGCCCAATTCCAATGTTATAGCCAAAGTTTCATCAGAGAACAGCTTTAAAATTAATCTGATGAAAGTCTGTCTCTTGAATGTTTCCAACCCAGAGTATATTGTACAAACTTAAATTATTTTTATTGTTAGTCTTCTCTTGGTGCCTGTGTGGGTTTTGTGAAAACTGTAAACGGGAAAAAAAAAGATGTTTTCTCTCAGAATTTTAAATTATATTTTCTTTACAGGTATTTATAATATATCAAAGATTTTATCAAACGGACAGAATTTTAAAAGGCATAATAAATTATATTAAAGAACCAATTTTTTCTTGAGAAAGAGAAAATTTCATCCAATAAAGGTATTTTTAAAAGGCATGTTCCAACAGTAACTACAACATGTATGTGATGTGCTGTTAAAATTACATTTGTCTAATAATAGCATAATACAGTATGTTAGCAGAGCGCAGAGTGTGTGGTCTTAACATTTGTAAAGAAAACAAAAGCTGAAGTCAAGCCATGGATTCAGTTATCTGAGAAATATAACATTTCATTAGACTTAAGAAGAATGAATGGTCTCATCACTGAGAAAATTTGGTGGGGGGCACAAAATATGTACTTTATTATGATCAGAAAAATTATAGAATATGTGTTTGCAATGAAGAAAAAGAAATACAGGGTGGATCTTTCACGACTGGAGCCACATGATGATTCTCTATGGCTTTCAATGAGAGAAAAATTGGTTCCTGAAGATCTGAAATGTAACATCCTTCTTTCTGTCTCATATTAAAGTATGTGTCTGCAGTACCCTTACAGTCCCACAGAACTTATAATGAAGAGGTACACAAGAGTAAGATAAGGGGAATTTTACTGAAAAAAAATCTTGATTTTTCCACTGCCTTGCATCTGCAAAAAAGCCTTCAACTTCTGCTTTGCAAGGTATTAAAATAAATACACAGAGTACAAGGGTATTAAAATACCCTTAATACCAAGGTATTAAAATAAATACACAGAAGTAAACAGTTCCTTATATTCTCACAGTAAATGGCTTGTGGAGTGCTTCCTTTGAAGAGGACAACTGTGTGCTGGGGTAAATCTGATAGAAGTGGTTCCAGTTTCAAATACTGGCTCATATCCTTGGGCAGGGATGCATCAGGGAAAGGAAATAACATGTTGGGGTACACCAGGGGTAAGGAACATACTATAATGCAGAGGCATTAAACCAGTCTCTCACTGCCATGTTGTTCTTTAGGACCTGGTTACCAATTGTGTAAGTTAGAGCTGCTTTTGACTTAAGCAGGTACTAGTACAGAATCAGGAAAACAACTGGGAGCATCTACATGAGTTGCCTAATTAGCTCTGCAGTAAAGTCTCAGCATCTACATGTGTGGCCCTATTAGGCCACAGGAAACTAATAAATGTCACTGTATGTTAGTACTTGTCAGCACAAGTGCTATCCTATGGCGGTGTTATTTAGTGTGCCGCAACACACAGGTAGACACTAACAGGGCTAGCTGGGGCATAAGGGTGCTTCAGTGCAGGGGCTGCTTGCTGGCTAGCCCCACACTGGAGCACCCTCATGCCTCTCCACACAATGTTGAGCTGTGTAAGAGCAGGCCCGGGCTGTCAGGCTGACCCCCTGAGCTCCCTGCCAGCCAGGTCTGCTCTTCCCCAGCTCAGTGTTGTTGCATAAATTGCTGATTTTATCCCCTGGAGGC